CGAAAGGAGAAAACTTTCATTCGGAGGCGTTGACTCCTATTTGTGCTTTTAGGAGCGGTAAGTGATAGTGAAGGGAGAGAAATGTAGAATTGAGTGGATACATTATTCACTGCTGCAGTGGAATACTTTCCCCGATTTGTCTTTCGCCCGAGTACATAGTACCGCCTGAGATGAAGGTATATTCAGATAGCTTTTTCGTCTCCGTTCCCAACAGCTCTCTCGTTTTCTTGCGCGAGCAGGCAGGACCTCGAAGTGGACCCGGACGCGTTCCCGAACCGGGGCGGCGCGTGGAGGATTTCGGAGGCGGGCTGGTCCGGAGTGCGGGTCATGCAGCGGCTAAATAGCCCCTAATCGCTCGATAACTCATATCTTTAAATTGACTTAAACAAGTTCCCTCGTCACGGCGCAGCACCCCCGCCGGGCTCCGCCCACCCTCAGCCGGCCCTAATATTAATCCATCTCTCCGGCGCATGTTTGGTTAATGACAAATCCCATTTATCATCCCGGGCTGAATTGTTATCGCGCGCGCGGAAGGGCGGGGGTCCCAAATGACCCCCTCCCCTCCCAGGGCTTTCACCATTTCAACTGGAGCGTCGTCATGAATCGGCGGCGACGCGGTGGAGTGTGCGTGGTGTTTGTCGTCTGTGACTCACGGAGAGCAGCCAGCGAGCGAGCGGGTGAATGGCGTCGGCGTGTAGTGAAGAGAGGAAGTGCCGGGTCGGGGAACGTCCCCCCCCCTTCGTCCGCGTCCCGCGCGCCCCCTCCCCCGCGCCGCTCCGGTTTCCGTTGTACACCGCCGCGCCTGGCCCCCCTGTTCCCCCGCCCAGCGGTCCCCTTCCACCTAGCGTTCAGCTGTCCCGGGTTAATGATGTAAAATTAGGATGTGTAAGATTCAAAAAAGCGCCCGTAGCTTTCGGCCGTCCTCTGTAATGTGTGGATAGTGGATGCTGCATGCTGCGAATATTATTATTCATACTTTTCTTAAGATTCCAAATTGTTTAGACCTCATTATATTACATTAGTAGGCAAACTGTACGTCAAAATAAAACAATAGAGCACCATTTTTTCTAAACTTTATTCGTTTTTCGTAGTCCAGCGAAATATTAATTTGTAATAATGTTGATTGCTGAATGGCGAATTTATAAATTTGGTACGCTCTAGAAACACAAGCTGGAGGGGAGGGGTTTTCATTCATATAATTCCACTCATTTGCTTTGCTCGCGTACAATACGGATCCGGTCTTGGGAACATCAGTCTTTTCCTGTTGAAGGCCAGTCCGGGAAATTCTTCTGTTGAGATGATCATGTCCTCCAGTCGGAGAGTGTTGTTGTTTCTTGCGCTTGTTTGTTGTCACGGGCTTTTGGGCCGTTAAGTATCGTGTGAGAATGATTGTCAGCGATGCGGGTCGGAGGGCCGCGGGCGGGTGCCGCTTCCCCTCCTCGATTCATGGCTTTGAGTCAGCCGCCGCCGCATTACTCATCTCGATTGTTTCCCCGCCACCTCCCCGCTCCGCTGCCAGGTGACTCATAGCCTCCGCTGCTGGAGCGTCGGGCGGCAGCCGCGGCCCGGCCCGACCCGACGCGAACGTCCCGGCCCGGGCCGGCCCGGCTCGCCTTGTGTAACAAGTGACAGATGCAACATCTGGGCAGCTGCGCGGCGCGCCTGGCTGTTGCCCCGATAAGGTCGCCCGGGCCCCGCCTCCGCCCCTTCCTCGAGTGGCGTTGGGGGAGTAAACAGGTTGGAGGTGAGGGTGGCCGGAAGACGCTAGAACCTACAGATCCAGGACTGGAAGCTTCCGCTCACATCGGTGATTTGCCATTAAATTTAATTAAAAAATTAAAATTAATTTTAAAATGACCAAACAAATACTAAAAAAAGGCCTCCAATTACCGTAAGGTGTAGGGCCCCACGTGTTCGTTAGACCGGCTGAGCCGGAAGTGGTATCTCGAAAGCGAATTTCGCGATAAGATCGGGCGGGGGTGGAGGGGTAGCTTTCGCCCGCGTGTGTGCGTGAGGGCGAACCCATCGCGTTTAAGCGAGCGGAAGTGTTGCTCAGGCGCAGCGTCACGAAGCGTTTTGCGTTGCGCGCTGAACATCTGCACGTGTTTCCGATGCTCAAGTGTTGAGCGAGGCCTCCGTCATCGGTGCATCCGCTGCACTCCCCTATTGACCACCCGCTACGGACTTCCTCTCTAGTGTTTGATGATCCACTGTTGTTTTCTGTTGCATTCTGTTGGTTTTGAAGATGAAGTTCGGCTGGAAAAATAATAAATGTTCTTATTCAAACGTCGGATAACACCCGACTGAGTAGACGATAGGATAGAGTGGGTCGGTGAAAGTGAAAACTACTTTTCATTGCTGCAGAAATGAAACTTCCGTCGAACGATATGGAAGTGATTTCTGTAGGTTCTAAACATCAGGTTACTATATTATAGAAGGGTTCGTTTGTTTCTGCAAAGCTTGGATTTTTTGAGGAAAACGTTCAAATAACGCCCAAATTTGGCAAGTGTTTTCAGTCAAGTACCACGGTACCCAGCACTTAAGACTTATCTTCCCATCCTCTCTCACCCAATCTGTTGCGTGAACGTGTTACGCATTAGCTCGGACCGCAGCCCCCTTAATAGCGAAGTACACTCGGCCGTTTAGGGACCTTCGCGTCGCTTGCTCAATAGGGCTTGGTCACTTGTGGCCGCCTCCCCCCTCCCCCCCCCCACCCTCGCACTGCCAATGAGACCGTAGGATGGCAGACGCCCCGGGAAGTCTTGGCGCGTTTCGATTAACGCGACGCAATAACGAGAGCTTTGACAGCCAGACAATCAGCCCCGCAGGCAGAGAAGAAACCGAAAGGGGGCGGCCGCACGGTGGACTCATGCGTTGTGGGGCGGGCGGGCGGGACGAGAGAGAGCAGAAAGGGAAACAGGAAAGTGCCTTTAAACACAGATGTCTTATTTGCAAGCCATTACGCCATCCGAAGGTGCGGAGGGAACGGGTAAAGCCGCAGTGCTAAGAGATTTGTTTGTTGTTGCTGCTGGCTGTTGCGACTGCTCCTGCTTCTGCGCCATCGGGTACAGTGGGAGCCCACCCGCGCCATGAGACTGCTGGGTGGGGAAATAAGTTGCCGTTGGCCAAGAGTCCGCGAAAGAAAAAAAAATCTCACGCGGCGCCAAAAACTTTTGGACAGCGGTTTAGTCAATTTTATTTAAATCTTGGGGTTCGCCATTTTGTGGCCCCATTCTAAATCGCGGCGGCGGCCGCCGGCGGCGTCGGTGGTGACTACTCGCGCGGGCGAGCGGCAGGTGGCGCGGCGGCGCCCAGATGGGAGTTGGTCGGCGTGTCCGCGGCGAGGGGCGGGGGGGGAGAGGGGCACGCGAGCGAGTGTCGAACGGGACGGGTGGCCGCATTTCTGTGCGCTTTGTAGTCACGCGGAACGCTGTTTCGGACCGCGCCGAGCGTTCGGTGCTGCCGGTGATCGCAGGCGCCGCTCGAGTTTGCGACGCCCGGTTCCCGCGAAGAAAATTTCCGCGGGATACGATATGGGTATACACAAGCAGAAGTTTACGATGAGCTTGGTTTGCTCTAACCTCTAAGAAGGAACTTAGATGTGGCGGTGTAGAAATCAGACGCGGTTCATGCCCAAATCTTCACTGCTCAGATGTAAAAACTGCCCAGAATCTGGACGATTTACTATTAAGGAATAATTCCGAACACATGACTGTGAGGGTATGGGTTTGCCAGGTTTAGCTCAGTATTGTAACAAGAAGGTCCTAAAACGTTTTTCGATTCTTCGGGTGCGAGCCGCTCACCTCATTCACGGTGCTGATAGAAAATTACGTTGGGAAGAACTGTGCACTTTAAGACATTATCACAAGCTGCTTTGGAAATGTCAACCCTGTGAGAAATCATGTACAGGTGTTTCCATAGTTAGCTATTTATTGTGCTTTTTTTGTCGCCGGTGTGGGTGCCACCCAGCGCGCCCTTCCCCTCCCCTCCCCTCGCACCTTCGCTGCGCCACTCCCGACGGCGGCGGCGGCGGCGGCGGCGGCGGCGGCTGCCACGGCGGAGTTGCGGCTCGTTCTCCCGAGTCGCTCCTTCGTGGGTTTGCGTGTTTCGGGCATGACTCACCCTCCGGAGAATAGTAGAGCCACCTCTCTGTCGCTCGCTCCCTCTCACTCGCTCCGTCTTGAGTGCCACCGCCGCCGCCGCCGCTTCATGTAAATCTCGACCTTACGAAAAGAGTACATACGGCCGCAGTTTAAATCTCTTGCTTCGGTTCTTCAGACAGACGAATGCGGATCTTCGCAGGCCGGCCGTAGCTCCTTGATGACTTCTCGATGCCTTTTTTTGTTCGGGGGCGTGTATTGTGGTTCCCCATCCCTGTTTCTGTGGTTCGCCTGCAGTAAAACCGTGACAGGTTTGGTTGCTGACGTCACATTGACGTCACGTTTTGAAATCTTAACTTCCAAGATTTCTGGCCGCACGGAAGGATTTGCGTCAGATATAGGTATCGATTTTATGCAGATTTCGAGGCGAGTGTTAAGACATTAGTTATTCTGGCCTTGCACGAGATGAAAAAGCACGAATTGTGACCAAAAGCTCCCGAAATTTGCATTTGAAGTAATTTTACTACACGTGAGCAGAGCCATAAAATGTTATATCCACGTCTTTCGTAAATAAATCTTAGAGTTTTGTTATTGTGATATACTTCGAAGTATAATTCCTCCAATATAAATTACACATGTTACAATTTTACAAACAACATATTCCTTAAGTGATGAACTCGTATAAGGGCTGTAGTAGGTATGTCTAGTGTGTATTAATGGTGAGGATTCTTGATAGCAAGATAGAGTAATCGTGCAAAATATTGTTTGGAACGTATAGAGATAAAATGACATTTTGTCTGGGAAATGAGATTTTAAACATCCCTTTACGTTTCTCACGACGGTTGTAGAAAGAGTTCACATTCCTTAGTTATATTGTAACTATTATTATTGTAATTTTAGGAGATGGGTGAGTGAAAAAGCTGATGTGTGGTTTCCTTTGTGTGTTACAGAGGAGGCCCGAAAGAACGACACCAGCGTGCTGGTGCATTGCCAGGCCGGCATTTCCCGCTCCGCCACCATCGCCATCGCGTACGTCATGAAGCACAAGCTGCTGTCGATGGTGGAGGCGTACAAGCTGGTGAAGAGCGCGCGCCCCATCATCTCCCCGAACCTCAACTTCATGGGCCAGCTGCTGGAGCTGGAGCAGGGGCTGCGCGCGACGGCCGGCCTGGCGCTGACGGACGCGTCGGCGGCTGCGGCGGCAGCGGCGGCGGCGGCCGACCTCAAGGCGTGCCACCAGTGCCGATGGACGCACCAGTCCAGCGAGGAGGTGTCGTCGGGGTGCAGCGTCTAACCCGGGGCAGCCGTCGCCACCACTGCCTTCGCTCGCCGCCGAAGCACTTCGGAGCTGCAGCAGCCTACGCCCTACAGCGTCTCTTCTCAGCAGCTGTCCCTGACTCCACGGGCGAGGACCCGGCGTGTTCTCGGCGCGTCGCGGAGAAAAGAGGAAATTTTTGTCTCGTGCTTGGGGCAGACGCCCGGGCTGGATGTATTTTGTTACTGCTCAACCCACAAAGTCAACGCTTCTACTGGAATAGGAATTGAGTTGTGGATCGTTTATATCCGCTCACATCCCTTAAAATTTGTTTTGTTGGCGAAAGTGAGAGTTAGTGGGATATCTGCTCGCAGTTGCTATGAACATTGGAAGTAAGAAAAGAGACTCAAACTGGATACTATTTCCAGAATTTGATATATTATTTATGCCTGTACAACAAAAGGCTTTCAAAACGGAATACTGAATAAAGATCATTACAACATAAAATTGTTGATTTCATGTTCTGCTCTTACGCTGCGACAGTGAAATATATCTGAATACAAGAATTGAAGATACTGCACCAAGATGGTAGTAGACTGCTGGTTTCAAGTGCCGGTGTCTCAGGGTGACCATGCATAACTATTAGCATCAGGGTCCCTGTGGTTGACAAGTTCAAAAACTAAAGAAAAATACCAAAGTAAAGCTGCAGATAAAAATGTTCTGTATTGTCAGAACACTAGCAGCTCTTCATAGAAAGAAGTCGATTTGCTGTATCGTGGGAAATCATTGGCTTCAATAAGGAATTGCCAATGTAGCTTCATGATGTATATCTGTACCAACTGCAGAGTTTTTGGTACATCGTGGCTGTGTGCTGGGAAGATGTTGTAATGTTGGTGAAAGCCAACCTGCAGCATATTCAGTCATACTTCCAAGATCGGAATTAATACTGTTACTGGTGTGCTTGTTACGTGTGAGTGCAGACTGGAACATTTATTAGAGTGTGTGAAACAGACATTGGTTTATGTACCATAAATTAAAATGTTAGTTACGGGTTTCTCCTATTTATTATTCAGAGCACAGTGTCTGTACATTCAGATATTCACATGCTCCAAATCAGAACTTTGATTCACAAATTAGTCAACTGTAGATATCACATTTTTAAGCAGGATGCATGTTAACTTAATTGCGTTTTATGTGGTGTTTCACACACACACACAGAGAAAGCATGATTTTTGTACAGTCTAAAGAAAGGAAAATGGAAGTAATGCCACGAATGTAAAATAAAAAAATAAGAATGTTTGTGCATAGTACTTGTTAGGCCTTTACTAAAACTTTTTTGTTATCAGTATATTGTAGGAGACCAGACTCAGCCTACATATGTCTTAAAAGTTATTCTAGCTGTTGAGACAGTGTTTGGCTGAATGGTGTTTGAATCTAGTCGTTTCCTGGGTTAAAAGGCTGTGTTATGTACCAGAATTGTTTAATTTTATTGTCACTATTTACTCCTACAATTAAGGATAATTCATGGCACAAATTGATAGGTGGAACTTCTCCATTTGAATTATAATTGTGTTAAGTCATAACTGATTAGAAGTTGATGTAGAAATAAAGGCTATTTTACCTTCCTCAAATGTGAATTTCACTTTACTATTGTACTAAGAAAATTTTTATTTTTTTTACTCAGGTTGTGTGCCTTGTGAAAGTGAAATTTTGGAAAATAGTTGTCAACTAATCCTAACTTTCATATTTTTTGTGACACATTTAGAGATGTCAGTGGTTTTAGTGGCCTTCAACCAATTACTTTGAAAATCCTAACAAGCAGACAATTAAAATAGTTTGTGAAGTAAAATAAGACAATAGTGTTTGCGTGACTGGCATATTGCAATATTTTTGTTTTGAGAGATATATCTGATCAGTCTAACACTGTTATGGCTTGTGTGCCAGTTTACGCTGAGCTTATCTCATGTAAATCAATTATGTAAAATTGTAGCTTGTGTGGCAAACTGTTCAAAATCATTATTCATGTCAAATGTAAGATCTTTCAATGTACAGACCAAAAGAATCTAGCAAAATCTGTAATCAATCTTTAACATATGAATATCCATTTTTAATGAATAAAATTGTACTTTATGCCTTATCTGTCAGTAATTTTTCCAAAAAACAACAAAAAAAACTCCTTTACTTTCAAACTTACTTGATTGTGCCATTTTGTGATTGTATCATAGAACCATTTCAATAGTGCCTGAGATAATTCAGAAACAAAACTTTGCATTTAAGAAAATATTAATAAAGTTGTGGACATGTATTTATGAAGTATTTAGAGCATAATCAACTGATAGCAGTTATTTATCTAATACTAAATGCCTATGAAACTACTGGAAGTTGAAATCAATTTGCTCAGAGAAATAACGGGGAACACTAAATTGATAGAGCTTTCAAAATGTCATCATGTGGCCTCTTAATATGCCTCAGATGCATGCCTTAAGAGTTTTTTAGAGGATCTCTTATACTTAGAATAATGGCAGAATATCTTGTATGCTATTAATTTACTGATTTGTGTCCCAATTTCTCATGTACCACACTAAAAATACCTGGTCTTAACCCTTTGTTGTGGTTTGATGAATTAGAAAGAGGCCTCTGCACATATCAGATATTTGCCTCTAATTACACAAAAATGTGAGTTCTAAGTTGGCATTTTCATGGTAGAAATCAGCAGGGTAAATAATGTGCAGTGAAAGATAAGTGTAGTCTTGTGTATAGTTGTCCTAATGTGAAATATTCAATCGTTACACAACCATTGTAGAAACCCATGTTCATGATTGTCATTTTTTAAATGGTAGTTATGTAGCTAAGTGTTTTGCCTGTTGGGAAGTATGGGTTATGTGAATAATGTGCCTTGGACTCTTTATTTAATATGTACATATGCATTACTGTGGCATATGTTTAAATATGTTTGTATGAGAGGATGTCTTACCAGTGAAATGGATATTGACCATTTATAAACTAAAAATATAGAAAATACCTCAAAGGATAAAATGTGTGTTGGTTCCTCATTTATTTACCATCAGGCTTTCCTTTTATACCTGCACCACAAGATCCCTTTCTGATACCAAATAACGAAGAGAAAAAAATAGATACTTGTAAATAATTTTGAAATCTGTAATGTTATTTTACATTTTGCAAATTCACTTAAAAGTTATTTTACATTTATAGACATTTAAAAGTAAAAAAGCTCGTACCTAAATATTGGCAAGTGCACAAAAATGTGAAACTTTAATGATATAGCAAGATATATTTATATCTTACATATTAATAGATAACTTCTACACTAATGGGATGACAATTGTACATACATTTCTAACAGAAAACATACATGGATGTATCAACTTCCAGGACAGTGCCCTGTGGCCTCAAGTGCAGTCTTGAGTTATCAGCGATAATGTCCAATCAACACTCCAGTTCATGTTTTGAAATGGACATATCTTGAAGGATACCCATAAACAAAGCAAAAATCTTATATAACGCCTAAAGTCAAAACTACTTGACTAGGAATGAAACCAATATATTAATGTGCCATAAACATTGATAATACTCTAGATTGCCATGGTATATTATTATACTATATCTCTTTGGACTTCATCAAAAGGTGAAGGGGTATTTTCTTTCTTATTTATTTTATTTTTTGGAATGGATACTATAATTTTACCACAAAGTACTACTTTCAAATCAATAGACTGTAAACGAAGGTAATGGTTTCCATGCATGAGTGCTGAAAAAATCAATGGCTCGTTAATGTGTTTTATGGATCTGTAATGAAACATAAACTTATATCCTTGCTAGCCTTTCATATTCTAAGCTCGATCTGCAATCAATTCAACAAATAACATTCATTTTCTATGAATTTGATTTGTTGAACTTAAGAATCAGAAATATAAATCAATAAAGTATATAATATTCAAATAAAAATAACTATATAAACATTATTTTGTTGAATTAATAAGAAAACTACAATTTTTGAATGTTTTGTGAATTTATAATCCACATTAGTCACTATATTTCACTGTTACGAATTATATCTATAAATTTTTTACTATTGATTATTAATTGGGTTTAAAGTATAAAGTTCATACTATAAACACTCAATTTTTAGAGAATTATAAAATTAATAGAATGATCGTTTATCTGTCATCCTTTTTTAATTATGTTGTTTGGTTATGTCAACATCTTGCAGAGGCAGATCCTGCTGATCATTTGGGGGAGGGGGCTTCAGAGATTTTTGTAAAATAATATACATATTTGACACACATTGTATTTTATATTACTTGTGTTGTGTACATATGATACTATACAATATTTTTAAATAATTCCATAAATAAGTAAATC